AAAGGCCACAATCAGTAGTGTCTTTCCATGTTTGACGATGATTGTAGTTTGTGGGATCATTATAATGACAAGTTAGCATAAAACACACAAGTTTTCCCAAAAGTTGAACAATTTTAGGCACAATCTAATGGCTGTCTGTCGATTATTAAATCTATATAAGTTTGTGGACCAAGCAAAGATCAACCATCAAGAAGGCAAATCTATTTAGGGTTATGATAGTTGTCGTTGGCACGCTGTAAACCATGTGGCCTTTTCAGATAAAGCACGCTACCCAAATCCAATCCAGCTGCTTTGGCTGTACAGGGTTTTGTTTTCTAAATCTTATTTTATAGTTTTTTAATAAACAGGGCAAGTTGGAACTTCAACAGCAAGACGTTGTGGTTGGGTATCCATACCCGAGTCATTCTATAGTGAAGGCCTTATCTAAGGTTATTAGATGAAATTCTATTTCTTAAACGTTGCATCAAACTAACCAATTTAATCAAATGGTTGAAAATAAGACCTAATCACTATAGAATTCCACGTCCATGACCATACCCAACATTTTGGGCCTAGATACTTTACATTCAAGACTTTCAAGTTCAGGTGGGCTTGAGCTTGCAAAACTATATATAAACTGCATACCGCCTGTGCTTATTATAAATCAATATTTAATCATACAATACAACAATAACATGTCTTAAGCATCCACATAAAGTAGAAAATTACAGATAGCAGCATCTAAGCAAAACACAAATTTCTGTACGTCAATAGGAATGAATAGATATTGAAGACAAGCTCTCTCAGTCCAGCCTTCGTAACAAGTACTCAACTTGAACTTCCTTTGTCATTGGCATGATCCAATCCCCATATAAATCTGCAACCAAGGTTGGTTGTATCTTATAAACCAGGTCGGTTTTCTCTTTTTCCTCTTTGTACAAGGTCACCTCTTGCCCATAAGTTTTGGCCTTCATTTCTACCCTCTTTATGATCACCTCCTCGACCGTTGGATATGTCAACAAAGCCATCACCTTCTCCCTGTTCTGAAAAATCAAACGTCACCAGCATAAGGAAAACTGACTCAGTCGCTAAACATTCAAAACTGCTTATGACAGTGGCATGCAGAAAATGCATTCATGTACATGTACCTGTTCGATAATGGCAGCTTCATAGGACTTTGGATTGGATCGAAACTTACACTCCGCTACAAATTTACCATAGTGGATTCTCTTTGACAGAGCCTGCCATCATCATAGGACACCCCAAGTCAGCATTATGCTATTTAAAAAACTACTTCCGATTAATTACTGAATCTATTAGAGAGGAGCAATACGGGACTACTAAGGTCGAGAGCAAAAATCACATGCATAAAAATGGTTATTGAGTATTTTGTCTTCCAAATTGAACTAGAAATGTATTGTGATGGGATATATCAGGTAAAATGAATACCTGCAAGCACATTGTATCACAAACAGCAGTTGATCCAAAATTACCATCATCTCCTTCCTTCACCAGTCTTGGAAGAATATCTCTGAAGTACATTTCCCAAACTTTGTGATTTATATTAATTGAATTGGCAATGGGATGTAGTACCTGTTTGCAAGTCGGACGTATACATAATTATATCTTCAAAATGAAAGGGGTTAAGACTCATACAAAACAAGAGCAAAAACTGGTGCTACCACACAGGAAAGGTTGTACAAATAGGACAGATTCAGAGATTGTGGAGATAAAAAGAAAGACTCCAACTTGCAGGGCTAGATCCTTGTAGTGAATTCTCAGTTAAACAATGACCCACAAGTAATTGTTTCTTTTACTGTTATGCATCAGTGTTAGATTTTTACATTTCAAAATTTCGAGTAGAATCATGTTGTTCTGAATAAATTTTGTACTTCAAATGGATACACATGATTGACTACCATTTTAAATTGATCTAATAATGGTATAGAACAAGTATCTCTAAAATAGTGTCAGGTAAACTGTTTTTGAGTATCTCTAAAATAATGGTATACCCCATGCAAATTTCTGTGACCATGTTGAAAACACCAGCTAAAGAAAGGAAAAAAAAACCCTGCTGAGCACAACTTTTTCAATCACAATTAACCCATCCAAGTACGTTATTTACAAGAACTATTTCAAATGTGCTTCCTAGTTTGGCCCTTAAGTAAAGATAACCACAAGCTTGGACATAACCAACCTTATTGTTCCTAATGAATGCATGTTTTATTTTACCTGAGGGTAGTGCAGAGGTGGCAACACTGGTTCAGGTAGGACATCCGGAAAGAATGGGTGCTCATCAGGACTGCTGTATCTACCAACCTAATTGCAACGCAAAGTCAATAAGAAAGCCAGCAATAATACTTTCCTCAATTATTCTTAGTGTTCATATTAAGGTTTAACATACCTGACCATGAAGTTTTTCTGTTTCTTGAAGAATGTATTCTACCAAGGAGCCGTGGAACCCGACCATAGGGAAAGCATTGGAGTCATAAGTAGGCATATTATGACAATATTGAGCTCTCTCTAAAAGGCCAAAAATTATGCTATCCTCCTGCCGGATTAAGGAATGTCTTATACCTTCTAGGGTTAAATTATCAGTTTCATCCACCCTCTTCTTTGTAGCCAATGATCTACATAAATTGGCAGCCTGGCGTTAGAATCGGGCCATAGTAAACTGAAAGCAAGATGCTTTTTAACCCATCCAATAATCAATAATATGCATTTGTATGATGACCAATGGAGATGAGTGGCTAGGAGCATACTTTTCTATGCAGATGCATCTATAAACATATGCAGCAAGACATGCCAGAAATCATAACAATTTGGCCTAACATAATTATTTGAAGTACTTTGAACTTCAGGACTAAAATAAATAAATAAGCTAAGCTGCCATTCCTAAAATA